TGTAGTTTCTCGAAGTGAATTGCGAGGGGAGAAGAGGAGCGTGTACTTACTCAGGGTACAAGGAGTGAGCAGAGACGTCGGGGAATCCACGGCCGTTAAAGTCGGTATATTTGCCGTAGTAGTCCTTGGTCTCCTTGCTGATCTTCTCGAGATAGCTCTCGACGGCGGGGTACTGGTACCAGGCACGAGAGAAGATGGAGGAGAAACCGCCGGAAGAGGCGTTCCAGGCAACTTCGGGAGTCACATCAGAGGTGCCACCGACAGCAGTGACGTAGGGGCAAGTTGCAGGGAAGATGGGCTGGAACTGAGGAGTCTTTCCGTCACGAGACTGGCAAGCAGAGCCAACACCTTGAGTAAAGAGTTAGAGCTTGATTCAAAGGAAAGTCATGTTGAAAAGCTTCTCGACAGGCTACTTACCTTCATCGCCGGAGGAATGGAGGACGGTCAAACCACGCAGGGTGTTGAGACCGATCAGGTTGCAAACACGTTGAGCATACTTGATGGGAACCGTCTGTTGAAAAGGCGTGTTAGCAAAGCCTGAACACGTTCTGGTATAGAGGCATGTCACGATACCTGCTCATCATCACCGTAAGAGTTGGAGATCACTTGGGGAAGCTCCGAGTTGCTCTTGGAGAGCAAATACTCGTAGTAAATCAAATACGGCTCATTCGAGTCGCTTGCCTGGGTAGGCTCATCCGCGTCGGGAATGAACGGACTGCGCATGTTTGGTCAGTGGAACGAACCTGCAAGTCATCGTCACTTGGGGTTTCTTCGTGGTCATCACTTACGCAACACCGCCAGTGATGTACTCATGGACGGGGAGAGGGTGAGCAACACCGACAATGTTTTGCACATCCAAGTTGGCCTCACCAATGTCGGAGATACCGGCGCTCTGGTTGTTTACACCACCATTCAGCGTCTCCACGGTGAAGCTCTGAGAGGGAATGTTGAATGTCTGCTCATATGTTTCCAGGTCGGAGTAGATGGCGGATTGGTTCAAGAAGCTACCAAATCCAATGCGGCTCCCAGAGGCAGGATCGGCCTTGTAGTCACCAACGTTGTACATCTGCTTCAGGCAGGACGGGGTGATGATCTTCTGGCAGGAAGCATCGACCGCGGTCTTCGCGGTCTTGCGAGCCTCAATGGAGTGCGACATGATCGGAGCCGGGGCAGCACCGCGAGTCTTGCCAAAGTACACCGTGGGGGAGATCACATCAATGTGGTCGGTCAAGTGATCGGGGATCGAGTACTCGGTGGTACGGAGCTTGACCGCATCGCCATTCTTGTAGTAGGCGAAGGAAGTGTCCAGCAACTTGTTGACCTTGTCCACACTGCCACTGAAGCTCACCACGGCGCCATCGCGGGCAACATTGGTGATGCCCGCGCTCTTCAGCCACTTCATGACCGGAGCGTCGTCCACGACGGGGAAGTGCGTGTCGACATCCTCCTTGCTCAACCACTTGCCGTAGGAGCCCTTTCCAGGCGTGGAGACCTCGGCGAGCTTAGACTCTAGCTTGTCGAAGTTCTTGCGCGTCAGCGCAATCGACAAAGCCATGTTGGAGTCGGCCGCGGGCTTGTCCACGAGCGACCAGCTGTTGGCGACATTGCCGGCGGCGCTCTCCCACACCACCGCCATGGATTGGCCGGCGAGGGCGCATAGTAGCCCAGCGTAGACGGTAGAGTGCATGATGAATACTCCAGCAACAAGCTCTCACTTGTGGCAATGAGGGAAGCTGAGGGTGGTGAGACAAGAAAAAAAAACACAACCAGGCCTTGGAGGGGAAATGGAAAAGGATCGACAGGCCTATTTATCCTCTAGTCCAGCTATGCTGGGATTTGGTGGCAGGCTTTATGCATGATCGTATGCCAACCGACTTTGATTCGACCGATCTGACCAGCCATTCTGTTTGTTGTATGAGTTACTAAATGATCGAATCCACCGCTTGAACTCTCCAGGCTCCTGCCCATTGACCGGCGGAGCTCCGCATCCCAAGCGTTACATCGCGTGAGTCTAAAATGGACTATGCACTGCCGTGCAGTGCCTGTTGAGCAGCGGTGTCATCGGCACCTCGTGTGCCGAACGTTCGGTTGCCTCTTTGGGGGGGGGGGGCGGAAACAGGTCGTGTTGATTTACCTCGGAAAAAGGAAGGTGGATCTTCATGTCTCTTGAGGAACGAATGCGGAGGTTGGGACCGGAGCAAAACTTCATCCCGATACACCATGAGAACTTTGAGAAGTGATATGAATTCCCGTTGTCGACTATCTCTGGCCACTGGGGATGTCAACTGGATGACACAAAAGATCTCGTTGAGAGAAGTTCACTCGGTCCCGCGTGGGCATGCGGGGGGCCACTGAACCAAGTCGATTGTGGTGATTGTCCATTACAGCAGGATTACATACTTTACAAGTAGACCTTGTAATATGTACAAAATCCATTGTATAGTAAGTAGTTATAGTAAGTAAGTAAGTATACAATGGAGTATGGACAGTGACACCATAGATACAATAAAAACAATGGATCATTGGAGACTGCAAAAGGCGGGAGATAGCGATCGCCTACTGGTAATTACTCGCTTGGGTAAAGTCCGGACTCCGGCGGGCTTTGGGCCCCACGAAGCTTGGCCTGAAGAAGCTTTGCCAACTCTGGTGGCCGGTTGCTTGGTTGGTCTGGAGGACCCCGGGAATCGCCTCACTCATCACGAAGCAGGGGCTTTCGCTTCTCCGGCCACAGCAATGATGTTTTGTACATCTTCTTTCAAATTGGCAACAAGCATCCAGGTAAGCACTCCTGATTAATCCCGCTGTACCACTCTCTGCAAGTGTGTCATCACTGGCCAGTGTACTCTAGATCGATCTGAGGTCTGATCTGCCTGAGCGCCTCATACGGTCGTACCCAGTCGAAGTGGAAAAAGGATTTCCTGCACCAAAGGAACGTCATCGGTATCTCAGGTGGGTATTCCAGGCACCAGTCTAGAGTGACTGACCGTTGCCATGGTACTGTGGAAGCCTCGGAGGTATGTAGCATGTAACTATGTACGCCCGTTGACCAACAACCTTGCGTGAACTCTGCAGAGATGTGGAGAGCGGCCGGGGCCTCAACTCTGGTGATTGAGGGGAAAGGTCCAGGCACACAACCATGTTCAATGTTGTAACACTCACTCATGATCCGTTCGCCCCAGTCTGGTCCACGGCATAATCAATCGAGTAGGAGGTACTGAATGCAATTGTGTCTTGTGGTATCCTCCCCTGCTGATCGCGGTCATGTGCCTGTCCGGCCACGTGATGGTTGAGCCAAGGTCATCTTGATCTGAGAAATAGCACCAGATTGCGAGCGTCATTCGACTAACTACAGACGGCAGTACAATGTAGATGATTACATACCATTGCATCTCTTCCTGGGAAGTTCCTAGGTATCCACCAGGTTCAGCTCGAGTCCGGTTTGTTCATGACTCTCCACGTCCATATTTCGCCGTACCTGTCAGCTTCGCACCATTACGTGACCCATTCACATTCACGGTCAAGTCTTATCACCAGCTAGGACCATAGATAGGTAACTTCTTTGGCGTGGTGGAAATGAATCACCCCCTAACGGCGTTTAAGATGTCTATCTTTGCCGACCTGATCGTCAACGGACTGATCGGTGGGGTAAACAACGGCGCTCAGCTGCCCCTTTTGTCCTAGTCTCCCCACCGAAGGTTGAAGCCGTACACTGCATCGGTGCATACATTGCATCCTGCATCGTTGGAGAACCTTCCATGTCTCACATTTGGATTTCTCGCAATATCGGTGTGTGGGGAGTTGTGGGACATGGCCTTATTGTATCTGTGCCTCTGTCGTGTGCGCCTATCGATGGATTCGATGCAGAATGTCCAGTACTCCTCATCATACCTTGAGCCGATGCAGCCGATGCAGCCGATGCAAAGCACGTTCTCGGCAACACCTCTACTCCTCTAGGTTGAATTTCGATGCATAGCCTCGAGCACGCATGACTTTTGTGAATCTGAGTCCCGAAACACATCCTGAAGGACTAATTTATTCGTTCCCCCACTCGTGAGTTTATGTTCAATATTGTATGCCGTGTATGTATACTCTAGGCGGTGGATTGCTACATAGGGCTAAGTAGTAACTAGTAAACTACCTAGTTAACTACCTAGCTGGTAGATGTCCTTACTTCAAGGATGACATGTTGGCAGGGTTGCTTTCATCGGTGCTCATGCTAGATCTGGCACACATATCCGTTTGTTTGACTTATGATGAGCCCGAGAGGTGCCTAGGTATGTAGTTGGAGTATCGGCTTGTCTGCAGATTCCCTCCTTTAAGAGAGGTTGACTTCCAATTGATGGATGGATCGGGCGGTTCCGGTTCTTAAGCCCGATACATATATACATTATTGGCACCCGTCCTCTCTCGATCACCACTTCTACCAGTGAAGGCAGTACACGGAGATTGACGTTGAACGGGTTTACCAACAACAATCTTCTTCAGCCCATCCACCCGTCCCGACCCTCACTTCCAGACTTTCACTGGTCCTAGCTGTCAGATTTACCGACCTGCATTACTGGCGGGAGGCACCTGATTTGTATGTCCGTCCACGTACCTGCATATCTTCCGTCCTGCGTCCGCATCCCCTTGATACAGACATACAGGCGTGGGTTGCTTGGCGAAAAGATTGAAACGGACATAATGGACGTGTTTGTAAGTGAGTTCTTGAGTAGCGACCGTTTCACTTGAGATATACTATAAAGAAGAAGTTGAGAGTCAGAGCTTCCTAGTCCCAGCGTGGAACTGTGCGTGGTCGGCAAACAGAGTATGGACTCGTCGACGCAGGCAGCTTCAGGAACATCAAAACGACAAAGGGCAAAGACGAGACATCCAGGCTGCTGAGTTTTGGCCGTTAACTACAACCGAGAATAGGTGACACGACGATTTGATTAGACGGGAGCAGAAGTGACTTTCCTACATATGTGTGGAAAGAAAAGCGGCAAAAAAGAAATCAATACTCCCTCGAACCGGAATCGAGCCGGTGACCTTTCGGTTATATGATGATCCATTACAGCCGAACGTGATATCCAACTACACCATCGAGGGTTGAGATTGATGCAAGGAATTATCAAAATTTGATACATATACCGCACTATCTTGTCACTGTCTCACGATAAGGCTTACACATGTCGACGGTCAAGCGGAATTCTTCACTGTCAACCAACATCAGACAAGACCCTGTGCTCCCTGTTCAAGACAACGGGCCTCTTGTTCAATGGAGTCAAAAAAAGAAAAGCTCCAAGAGGTCCCACGTGAGCTGCCAGCCATGTTCCGCCCGCCCGTCAACCGTGCGATGAAATCGCTCGACCGGTCATTTTTCCGCAAAACCGTGCCCCTCGCCGCCGCGAAGATCTTCGAAAAGTCGCAAATTTCCAACGTTCGTCAAGCGCTTGGCAAGAGCCATGATCTACTGGTTCTTCCCCGACTCAACGTCATCCGGGAACTAAAGGACCAGGATGGCGCTGTTCGGAAGGGCCTCTTGCTGCGCGAGGATATCAAGGTAGATGGTGGGTAGACTCTATTCTCGTACGACCGGCGATAAAATGAGTGCATTCCAGAGACCTGACTTGCAAATGATCTCGCAGACAAGACGACCTGGTCACCAGTGATAACTGAGCTTGTTCAGAAGGGCACCGTCGCAATGACGCCATACAACTTGGAGCTGGACTATGACTACTGGAGCTACGGTATGACCACTATCTCATGCGTCTGCCAATGCTTCCAAGAGCTGTTGCTGACATGACCTCAAAGCCGAGATTGCCAGCTCGATTCTTCCTGAGGATATGGAGGAGGTTCCTCAAGGTTTCACACAGGTGGGGCATGTTCGTACGTTGCTGCCCGATGTGCACACCACCCAAGTGCTCCGCTATAGCGCATTCAAGCTGACTCAAAACGACAGTTCATCTGAACCTCCGAGAACACTGGCTCCCATATAAACACATAATTGCAGAGATTCTGAAGGACAAGAACCCTACGATTCGTACAGTGATCAACAAGACCGAAGATGTGGGCTCCCACAGCCAGTTCCGCACGTTTCCCTTCGAGCTGCTCACCGGCGACCCCGACTTGAATGTGATTCAACACGAGCAAGATTGCGAATTCAGATTTGACTACTCTCGGGTGTACTGGAACAGTCGTCTCGAGACTGAGCATCGCCGCCTGGTGGACAAGTTCGAGGCTGGCCAGATGGTCTGCGATGTGATGGCAGGAGTTGGCCCGTTCGCTGTGCCTGCTGGACGGAAGCGCATCTTTGTCTGGGCCAACGATCTGAACCCTCATGGCTTCGAGGTGATGCAAGATGCAACTGTGCGAAACAAGGTGCAAGATTTCGTCACGCCGTTCAACCAAGATGGCCGTGAATTCATCCGCTTCGCAGCCAAGTCACTTCTCGAGAGTGACCCTGTTACTGTCACTATCAAGTCAAAGGCCCGCAGGGAGAAAAAGGGCAAGGCCAACGATGGAAAGCCTATCGAGCAACCAGCGGAACAAGTGTACACCCGACCTCGCTTCGTGGACCACTACGTAATGAACTTGCCCGCGACCGCTATCGAATTCTTGGATGCTTTCCAAGGCCTGTACGCTGGCAAAGAGGAGCTTTTCACCCCACACACCAAGCGGACTCTCCCGATGGTCCACGTCTACTGTTTCTCGGGCCACTCCGAGAACGAGATTGATGATCACAAGGATATCTGTGAGCGTGTATCGGAGCGCATTGGCTTCACCATCACCCCCGAAGACCGAGTGGGTGGGACGGGCAACTCGGCTATTGAGCTGGATGTTTTCAATGTCCGACTGGTCAGCCCTAAAAAGCAGATGTTCTGTGCCAGCTTCCGTCTGCCGCCTGAGGTCGCATTTCGCAAAGTTTAGCAGACTATCTTTGATGCATGAGTAGGCGTTGACATATTATACTGGCGGAGGCGAAAAAAAAAGGCCAAATAGAAACCTGGAAAAGTTGATACCCAGCATTGCAACAATGTTATTTCTGAAAAGAGTGTTTAAAAATTGAATTAAAAGCAACGAAAGAGTCATTCAAACTCTCATCTACATCTAGAACTTTCACATGGCAAAGTGGTAATTCCAGAGTCTAGAACATTGATAGCGATAAACCTGCACCGCCTTTTTCTGCCCCGCAAACCTGGACGAGCTTCAACTGATTGACGATAGCGACTGCGCAAATCATCACTCAGCATCTCCTACTCCGCCCAATTCGCACATTGAAGCCCGTCTCTACGTCTCCCACAAACTGCAAGGGCTTTGTGAGGTCACATAGTCACATAGCACACACAACGACCCCAAACTTTCCAAGATGAGCATTCAACTCCCACCCGCGACACACCGCAAGCGCGTTGTCCCTCAGGGCGAGCTCGAAGCCGCCGCGACACTCAGACTTGGCGCCGATCAACACACACATACCCTTTCATTATCAGAGGCGCGCCTCGTTATCCACAAAGTCTTGGAGAATAAGCGACGGGGAGGTAGCAAATATGAAGAGCCAGAGTACGTGATGCGAACGGGGTGATCACGACAATTACCCCCCACGATGCTGCTTTTGGAAGAAAGGACGGGAACATTTAGAAGAAGATCTTGTCGCTGACTAGTGGGTTTGTGGCCTGAATTTGCAGGAACTTGACCAAGACGCTTGATTATCTGGATGTATTTGCTCGATTTAAGGATGAGGAGAACATCAAGGCGGTGGAGCGGCTATTGAACTCGCACACGGAATTGGAGATGTTTGAGCGATCACAATTGGGTAAGTTCTGCCCTGTGTTGTTATTGCTTGGTTGTCAGGTCCCAAACGAGCGGTCTCTTACAAGGCGGAGATTCGCCCGAAGAGAGGGAGGGCTCATCTGGCACGTCGCTGTGACTGAAACGAGGCCGTGATACCTCTGATCGACCTTGGAACCGTTGAAATGGATCGTGGCCTCGCTGCGATGGATCCTCTCTCCACATGCGCCGCAGTGCCTGTGACTTGCGGTGGGATTGGACTTGTGCTGATACGTGATCATGCATGTAGGAAGTTTGTGCTGCGACAATGCCGAGGAAGCCAAGTCCCTCATTCCCAGTTTGCAGCACAAAATCACCGACAGCGAGCTGCAGGAGCTGTTGGACGAGTTGACAAAACTTCGCAACTTTACTGAGTAGGTTTGGGGAGTGAGAAGCATGGAAGATGGGTGGACTTCGACCGTGATCCCTTACGGCAATGACACGATGCCATGAGGTGCCTTTCATTGCAGATGAGATTGGGTTAATGCCCTAGACCAGGGGTATTCAAACATATTTAGGGAGTTTACTGGCGTTCTGACCCCTCAGCCCATGAAGATTCAGGCGACAGGGGCGGTGATATTGCACATACCATTTCGACAGCGACAGCTGGTTCTTGAATGAGATGATTAGAAGCATTTGGGTCAGAAGGGCAGGTAGTCTTGACGACCGTTATCTCCATGAATACTGTAGTCTGCCGTTCTTTTTTTGGTACGGTAAGACTGTGATCATGTCCCTACGTGGAGTGCTATGCTCCATCATTGAGTGTCATGAACCTGGTTCTCAGCCAGTGAAGGCTGTATATTCGCAACCTCGTATGGCTATGAACACGCCATGTACGGACCTGTATATATATGCAATGAGTTACTACGATCATCAGGCTGCAGCGCATTCGAACATATCCCTTAAGGTAAGTAGGAGACTAGAGCTCATTCACATAGTTGCCGATTGAGGAAAGGAGCACGTGATTATCGCCTCGTGCTATCCTCGAAATCACATGTGACTGGAGTGGATCATTCGAGCACGAGCGCAATCAACGACAACCCGCAGGTTCTGCAGTGTCTGTCAAGCAAGTACAGACTAGTTAGTACTACAGGCTAGAGTATGGATGCCATGCGTCATCGTATTCCCAGTTGACCTCCAGCCCTTATGTTGAAAGCAATGAGCTCGCCATTGATGAAAGTACTCCCTCATATCCAAGCAACCTTAGTCACCTTGAAATTCGCCATGTGCGTCGTGCAAAAGTACCAGTACCGTACGAATGTAATGTCCATCTGACCTTCTTGGTCGATGACCACTGATCATTTGTCCATCGCCACCACGGCAGGCCCAAGGCAGTCTCGGTCTCTACTCTCTAGAGTCCCTAGACTCCCTATTACTCGAGTCTCCGCCCTCTGTACCTTACTGGCAAATCGCTCTCCTCAGCAAGACAAGCACCGGTAGCACACACCCGGGACCAAGGCCTCCAAGTTGCCATCCCCAGGCTTTTGGGTTAGGGAGGAGACCGGGGATCGAGTGACCGTCTCCGATGGGCCACGGGCCCCCACTGGGCGGGTCTGCATTTGTTCAACGCTCCGAATCAGCAGATGGCTGAGATGAGAGTTTATTCCCAACTGGCCAGTTTGAGAGAAGGGGTAGTTCAGTCCAGTCATCAGTGGTCGGAGCACAGTGTGCCTAATTTGCCATTTGTAGTTGCGAAGGGCGTGGGTAGAGCCTGTTTCGGGGTTGACTGCTGGAGGTGCTATGGAGTATGGAGTCACGGACTACTTGTAACTGTGAGTAGGTGCCTGGCCCGGGGTCTCGCTTGACCGGCAAATGGAGATGGTGCTATGGCGTTTGTGCCAAAGCGACTCAGAGCTGGGTAGCGGGCGGTGCGTAGGCGAGAGAAAAAGAAGATATCTGTCTATGCGATCTGAAATTGAGGCGTCGCAGGTTTAGTCATTTTCTCATGACGTTGGGTTAAATTGTACGTAAATTCATCAAGCCGTTCGGGAGAGATGAGTCGGGTTTGGGACTGGGAACATGAAGTGATACAATATACTCTCATCACCGGGTTTATTGTAGTAGTGAATCTAGTGACGTAGTCCAGCAAAAGGTTATACTCCAAATGAATAACTTACAGGTAGAGGTCTAGGTCGGGTGCCCGCTACTTAGGTACCCAACTGATAAAGCAAGGATCTAGGTGGTCAGTGTTGTTGTACATCATCCCTATCCTTGCCTCGAGAAAAGCGCATAGCATGATAGTAGTAGTACTACTAGTTAGTATGTACTATTTACCGTTCCCC